GGATTTTGAGGGCCTTAAAATGGTAAGAGTTGGGGTCACTCAATTTTAGGTGTTTCCAAAATTTGATGGCTCTTTTCTCAATGCGCATTAGTAGAGGGTATTGGCCTAATTCTGCCCTGCATGCGTTGTTCGGTGTGCTCCTCTGTACTCTGAGGATACTCTTACAGAACTCAGCATGCAGGGCTTCAATCGGATTTTTGTCCCATTTTTCAAATTCGTGATTTAGGAGAGAACCCCACACTTCACTGCCATATAATGCAATAGGTTCTATGACTGATTGGAATATTTTGATCCAGATTCTAATTGGTATTTCAATTTGGATAGATTTTTTGATGGCATAAAAGGCCCTTCTTGCTTTCTCTTTCAGTTCATTCACAGCCAAATGTAGCTTACCAGTTGCACTTATTTTCAGCCCGAGGTATGTAAAGTTTTTGGTATTTTCAATTTTGGTCATACCAAGGGTGAAGTTGTGTCTCTTACCCTGACATCTGGGTCTTTTCTGGAATGTTAGTACTTTAGTTTTTTTAGAATTAATAGTCAGGGCCCAGGTCTGACAGAACTTGTGCAGGATGGCTAGGTTCTGCTGTAGACCCTCTTCTGTTGGAGACATCATTATAGTATGGAGATTCAGAGGGAGGAATATAGAGAGCGCATAAGAAAACATCTTCAGTGGTTTGGGTAAGGTGCTTGTTGATTTTGAGCCAGATATGTGATTATTCTTTTTTAATTGTTTGGATGTATTTGTCAATTTCTTGTTTGTGCCAGATTATGATGCCCCCTGAATCTCTTCCACATGTGATTTTTTCATGTTTTCTAGAGGATACAAATATTTCACAGTATCCTGGGGGACAAAGAGTGACTTCATCAGTTTTGCACCATGTTTCCTGTAATATTATTATGTCCATGTCTGATATGTTTTTTTTTCTAAAATCTGAGGTTTGGGTTTTGTAACCAAAACTGGATGAATGAATACCTTGTATGTTCCACATTGTAATAATAAATGATCTCATTTTGTCAACAAATGTAAAAATTCAACAATCTTAATATTGCTCTTGAGTGATGCAAACACAAGTCCAACACAGTATCAAGGATCAAAGAGTACATGTGTAAACATAGATCTACATTTTTTTTTTATATATAGATATATTGTGTGTATGTCTTTTACTCACTACTACTGTTCCAGCCGTGTGCATATAAGTCTGAGCAGGTCCTTAATCTCTACTAGGTTGGTGTGGTTTGGCCCTTTTAGGGCTGCGGCATAACTCCTCTGCTCTTGCTGCTCGGGCCGGTGGGGGTGTGGACCAGGCTGCTGCTCTGCTGAGATGCTGTTGTTCCTCGCTGGAGCTGCTCTTGGTCTTTTGTGGTTGTGCTGATGTTGGTCCCAGGAGAGAGGGCCCTGTGGTGCAAGGTACTGTTGCTGGGGTCTCAGCTGCTGCGGTGTAGGCTGATGGTAGTAGAGAGCAGGCTGTGGAGGTTGAGGTCGAAGTACAGGTTCAGGTTGAGGTCCAGGTCGAGGTACAGGTCCAGGGTGGTGGGGTGGGGGCATAGTGGCTTGGTCATAGGGTGCAGGCCTGTGGGTAGGGTTTGTAGAGTACTGCTCAGCCGAGCCTGGAGAGGTGATGTTCTGTGGTGCTGTTGGGGGAAAGCGTCTCACTGACTGAAGGGTAGTGGCTGCTCTGGCACTCTTTGGGGGGTTGCCAGGGGTTCAGCCCAGGGTCACATCTTTAAGAGTTTTGGCAAACACACAACCACTCTTTACGGAGGTGGACATGGTCGTAGAGGTGGCCGAGGTCCAGTGTAGGATGATGTGCCAGGTGAACATTTGGCATTCCAGCACATCTAAGTGAGATGTCTGCATTTACTCTTTGTATGGTGCGAGGATGGAAGTTGCAGTGCAGTGCAGTTGCCGTACTGTATTAAAGCTTTAATCAGGATAAAACCGTATATTAAAAGCTAACATAAGCAGTAGCATTTACAAATAACAGCATATCTAAAAGTATGAGACAACAACAAACAAAAAACATAGGCCTACCATTAAAAGCTGTGCTTGCACAGGCTCTGCACGATCCTCTTCAATAATATCCTCTGCTTCTCAATTGGGCTCAAACAATGCACCCGGAGCACATGCCGCTGAGGTGAGGGGTGTGACTTTTAGATGTGCACTAGAGGCAGTTTAGCCAATCACAACAAACTGGGCAAGCTATTTCTGAGGGCGGGGCTTCATAAAAGCTGGAAATGATCAGCGTGTTTCTCAGAGAAGGGAAAGAGCGTTACAAATGGTAGGATCAAAAAGACTGTTTTTGAACTAGAAAAAGAGATAAAGCAGATTGAAAAAGAGTTAAGTGTTGGAGATGTTGTGACAGTTGGGAAGCTGGAAGAAAAAAAAAAAAAGCTTTAGCCTCATTATTTCATGAAAAAGCAAAGGGAGCTTTAATTAGAGCTTGCTTTGCATTTTTGAGAGAAGTGGATGCACCAAGTTGCTTATTTTTTAATTTAGAGCAGAAAGAAAAAGAAAAAAAATGATGTTGCATTTGACAGATGTAAATGGGAATGTGATTTCAGATCTTAAAGGGGTCATATGATGCGATTTCAAGTTTTCCTTTCTCTTTGGAGTGTTACAAGCTGTTCGTGAATAGATAAGATCCCTGAAGTTGCAAAGACTAAAGTCTCAAAACCAAAGAGATATTCTTTATCAAAGTTAAGACTCTGCCACACCCCCCTAAAACGGCTTGTTCTAACACTACACAAAATAATGATCTTTAAAAAAGCATCATATGACCCCTTTAAAGAAATGAGAAAAATTGCTCCGGAATTCTATATGGACTTATTTGGAGAAGGACAATGTGACGTTGGATGCATTGAGGAGTTACATAAAGACTTATTGAAACTCTCTGATGAACAGAGTAAACGGCTTGACTCCAGTTAAAAGAACTGTCTGAAGCTATTCAAAAACTTTCAACTGGAAAACACCTGATATAGATGGACTTCCGGCTGAGTTTTATAAACAATTTTGGAATCTTCTGAAAGATTATTTATATGATGTTTTGAATTATTGCTATCAACAACATGAATTGCATGCTAGTTGTAAAAGAGCGGTTTTTATCTTTATTT